CTGATCAAAAGAACATGCAGGATTTTATGCAAGTAGGCCAAAGAGCAAAGCAGAGCCTTTGTCTTACATTATGTCATTTATGGGAGATTTACATGTTTTTATGCAGTGATGCTACCTTATTAAGGTCGGCAGGTTTGAAATCTCACCTCCAAATGTTGTTTTAATACATGCTGTTGTATTATGCACAGTCTAGACTTCACCACCTTCTTTTTCTGTCCTTCACATTAAATGTACAGTGTAATAATTCAGCGAGTGTCAAGAGCAGCACAGCAGTGAATGGTGAAAATTACACCCCGGGTCTGCCAGAGGGATTTATGTCTCACTGTACTGTAAGTGTAGATTCCCCTGAATGTATAAGCAGCATTGTGACAATAGATGGATATGATACTTTGTTAGGCCACATTGTGAATCCATTACATACTTAATTACAGTGATGGGGAGCCAAGAGGCTAAATAATGCATTTAATCATTACTACTATGTAATATTTGATTACTGAGCCCATCTCTATGGGAATGCTCTTCAGTATTGTCTTTGTGATTGGTGTTGCCTTTCAAAGTGAATCTGATGTGATATGCAATCTTATATGCAAGGGTATCCACAGGTTATGTTTAGGACATAGTGTACTTGGTAAAAGTTACCGTTGCCGTGATGGAGGCAGTGCAGAACGCAGTGGTTGCACCACCTACTATATGACCCTGTATCTGAAACCACCTACAACTAATTTCTTGAATGTCTTTTTAAAGGTTAAGAAAATCCCCTGTTCAAAGGCATGTTTTAAAGCTCAGTAAATGCACGATGTTCCTACAGTTAACGAGAAACTGTAGTAAATAATCAATATTCAAAACATTTGGTTTGCTGTTTTTATACATCCAAATCAACATATAAGTCACATGGCACAGGTTCCTGGTAGTTTGTTCCCTGATGATAAGGAAACATTTAGCTCTGCAGATTTTGACTTGTTTGCCTGGCTGGCGTTATTCAGGAAAGAAAGTTAGAAGAGAAAATAAGTCAGTGTGACTTTTCTTCATACATTTATCAGATTGTCAGAAATGCTGGCTGTTTATTCCAGAACAGGAAGTCAGTGTTCTGATGTGTTCCTCCTCAGTGATCTGAAGGCAGATCACATGTCGTAAAGATCAACTTATGAAGCAAGACTCTTTAGCTTCAGATTGATAAAGTTTCATTTCTCACCGTTTAAACAACATGGAGGATGTCTTCTGATAATTATAAATGCAAAAAGTATGCTGTTACATTAGGAACGGTATGGAGCAGTGCTTCATGTTAGGAGCTTAAAATATTCAGCATAGAGTATATGTTAATGTGGTCTTAAGACTACCCGTAACCACAAACTAAAGAGCTCTTAGTTTATGCAGCTGCGTGTGTTTGTGCATCAGAGTCAGAATGAAAGCAGTCTGTTATCAGTAAGATATGAACGATAACAGAGGGGGAGGGGCAGGAGCACTACTTCCTGATGGACCTTTTGATAGTAACACTGACGACGTGTCCTCATACAAACACATGTCATCTCTTCTCTTTGCAGAAGCTCTCATTTCTCCTCTCTTTATAGCCATTTCTATTCTGTGCGAT